TAAAATAAAAAAGAAAAACGATCTAATAGATAAGCAATAAGGTCGAAAAAAGTTGAAGAAATATACACAAGAACGAAGTTTTGAGGATAAAATTTTAACCTTCTAGATTTGTCTGGGATTCCTCTACCCATAGAAGAGAAATAACACGTGCTTAGTAAGATGAATTTGCTTTCTTCACATTTTCTTCGTATCTTCATAGCAATAGGAGAGCAAGTAAGAAATCAGGTTACAGAGATCAATCAAAAGAGCAGAGGAATAGTCAATGGAGTGTAAGAAATGCACAAACGGTATGGAATTAAGTATGGGATTCAACCAAGACAATAAAGAAAAGGGAAAAAGTACAAGATGAAATTTATGGTCGACACGTGTCCCACCTTTGCTTCACTCTTTTATATACGTATGATGTCAATTTACTTGGGACCTTGTAAATTTGCTATTTTTCTATTCAAAGTTTAAGGATGGTAATGGGATGGGTTTGAGGCAACACTCATTTGTACTGTTTAATATTTTATAGTGTTTTATATTTTGTCTTTGTGTTTGAATTTTTCTTTTTAAGTAATACTAAATGAGGGCAATGCATCAAATACCAATCGTCGCCCTAACCTATTAGAATCGAGGACCTCTAAATCTCTGATTGATCGTATTTTTTTGCTACCCTTATTCGAAGAGCCCCATTTCTCTAGTTTTTATATGGAGAATTATTCGTAGATAAGAGATGTCAAGGGAGTTTCTTTCTTTCCCAAGCCATACAATGATGACTTTAAGTAAGGTGAACTTAAGAATTATTGGTCTGATAATGAAAGTTGATATAGTATTATTAGGGCTTGGCATGATCCGGTTTGGTTCGCGGACACGAAATTTTTGAGTATTTAGTAAGTAGAATCATCGAGGTCCAAATTTAATTATAGAACCGTTTGGGTTCGGTTCCATTCGGTTCTCTAGTTCCTTCCTATAATTAATTTTTTTTTTATATTTACAAAGCTACATTAATTCAACTAATGACATAGTCAATATTAACTTTTACCAAATAACGTAATTCGATTTTATGTATCTTTTGCGTCTCTCCTTGTCGAGTTCTTTGTAGATTTGATTGTTAAAATTACAGAAAGAGGAAGATAGCGAATTCACAATAATTAAGAGAGACGATGTCGAGTTTGAATTCAATTTCTCCAGAATGGAAATAATGACACTGTAGTAGAATAACATACTTGAGTAAAATTTAGGTCAATTTGATTAAGTTGGACTTGAATTGAAAATCGGAAATAGAGAAAAATTCATATTTTTGATTTGAGCAAAATTAATTTATTAGCAAATTTATTTAGAAAAAAAATAATTACACTTATTTAAGATAAATTAATTAAAAAATTAGAGGATTTAGTTCTTTTTCGATTTTTTATCTAGAACGAACCAAACCCGTCGGTTCTTGGATTTGATACCTGTTCAGATATTTAATTTAAGAAGAACCCCTCGATTCGGTTCGGTTCGGTTAGAAAGTTTTGTCCAATCCTAAGTATTATCTTAATCAATGGACGCGAGTGGAGGGACTAAAGCGTCAAGGTGGTGACCATTCCCACAATATTTATTATTATTTTTTTCTAAATCTATATACAATTATTAATTTTTTGAGCATATAAGTAATACATACATATTTAGCCCCCTCATTTTTTTTTCGTCTCCTATAAGAAAATTCTGGCTCCATTGTTGTCGGTGGAATATTAAAATATAATATGATGATTTCACAAAATGTAGTGTGCAATGACAGGTGGATAAAACGCCCACCACGAACGTGCATGTGATGTGAGAATTGACGAAACTTTTGGTGGTTTACATCCAAAAGGACCTAAAATGCACCAAAATGAATATCAGGGTATGAAAATAAAGAAAAGAAATTGAAATGGGGAGCTTCACGGGGTGTACTTTGGAACCGAAGCTGCAAAGTTTTTTATTTTAAAACCTAACAAACCAATACCACACACTTTCCATTTAGTGCCACTTGTGTCAATTTCTTGACAGAAAAAATAGAAATCTAGTTAAATAAACCCAATATTAGGCCCAATTATTTTCCAATTAAATAAGGAAATAATGCATAACTCCTATATAAAAAAAATCATATTTCAAAATTAACAAACTTCCTAAAATATTTAACAAATCAGGTGGTAAATCAAATTATTAAATACATAATTATAGTATAATATACATTTATTCTCTCTCCCTCTCTCTCTCTTACATACACACAATTGACATTAACAACCTGTTAGGGAGGGATTTTTTGACTCCATAAATTGATTTTTTGACTGTTATTTCACTATTTCAATCGTCATATTTGACTTCTTCTCTCACGGGTGGACCCCACTTTTCTCATAACGGTCAAAAAATCAATTCTCAAAATCACTCCCAAACGGGCCGACCCAAAAATTTTCTGGTATTTAATAAATGAAATCGTCGGGTCCAAATTTAATTATGGAACCGTACATGTTTGATTCCATTCGGTTCCCAAGTTCCATATTATAATTATTTTTTTTAATATCTACAAAGTTACATTAATTCAACTAATGATATATTCAATCTTAACTCTTACAAAATCACGTAGTTCAATTTTATGTGTCTTTTGTTTCTCCTTTTGTTGAGTTGTTCATAAATTTAATGGTTAAAATCACAGGAAGAGGAAGATAACAAGTTCAAAATAATTGAGAGAGGCGTTGTTGAGTTTTAATTCAATTTCTCCAGAACGGTAGAAACAACACTACAGTAGAGTAATAGATTTGAATAAATTTTAGGTCAATTTGATTATATTGGCTTTGAACTGAAAATTAGAAATAAGAAATCATATTTTTGGGTTTGAACTAAATTAACTATTTAGCAAATTTATTTTAAAAAAATAAAACAATTTAGCTTATTTAAAGTAAATCAATTAAAAAATTAGGGAGATTCAATTCTTGATTTAGAATTGAGAACCAAACTGAACATGTCGATTCTCGATTCAGATATCCGTTCGGATATTTAACTTAAGAAGAACCACTCGGTTCAATTCGAGAGTTTTGTCTAATCCTACTATACCCCACCTCGATTGACCCAACTCCCAGTCTACCTCATTATAGAAAATTCCAAAAATTAAAAATATTTTCTCTCTATAGAAGTTTTCTCTCTCTCTGCACATTTACATATAAGAATAATTTTATAGGTGGCGGTTATGAGGTGGCACAATGTTTAGAACATATATCTATATAGTGGTGATGATGGTGCATTGTAGGTGATAAAAAGTGCATCGGAATTGATTTGTTTAATGATGGTGGTGGGTGTGGTGAGGTGGCAGCAACCTTTTGAGGACTATGTAGTGATAGTAGTGTTGTATTGTAGTTGATGAGATTTGTAACTAATTGTGTTATATGTGATTTGTTTTATTGTTTATGACCATACCCGTGTTATCTCTGACAAGTTGTGACTAGATCGTCTATAATCAAGTCAATCTATTTTGTAATTCTATGTAACCAAGTCACTGACCTGTGTTATCTACGACTAATTGTGACCAAATTTGTATTCAATATGATTCTTTGCGACCAAATCAATCTAATTTTCGACTCATTGTTAACCACTCACAGATAGTCACAACGAAGATAGAATTGGTCACACCCGATCATAATATATTTGTTCACAAAGGGCCACCACAAACAAATCTGCACACACCAAAGATCAACACCACAATCCACAATCACTCACCACCATCACCACTCCAATGCACCACCACTATTACTACAACCTTCGACAAACACCAACCACCACCGTTGGTATTACACCATCGAGCTACAACCACTTGCAACTAAAATACACCAAAAAATTCATCCGCAAGTCTTCGACCACCACAAAAATCAAAAGAAAAGACAAACAAAAAATGTAATTGGGGCAAAGAGCACGGAGAGACAAAAAAAAAAAAAAAAACAGTTGGCATCTCAACCAACTAGGATGTTATCCTTCGCCTACACACCGCGGTTGGTCCATTCCTTTAGCCACTGTCTTTGCCTCATTAATAGTCTCCATACTATGGTGAGGTGCTGTATCGCCGTTACTTCACCTAGCTGCGTTGTACGTAGAGCCATCATTGGGCTTGATTGCAGTGGATAAAAAGGCAAACAAACGGGGAATGCAGACGACAATGAACCTCTCGACGCCGATCAATGTAGTTTGCCTAATTAACTCCTTTAACAATTGTAATTGCGTTATTTTCACACCCATGATGCTTACTGATGATGCCAGTATTGATATACCTCGAGGAGTATACCCTGAGGACTCCATATATGCTCCAGCTCAACCTTCTATTATGGTCCTCGGGATCTCCCTGAGACCTCGAGGTATTTTGGTCCTCGAGGTAGCTCATGCAAATATTAACATCAACCCCCCAAGTCCTCGAGAATAGTCCTCAGGATATACACCACCAACAGACATTCTAAGACCTAGGTACCTAACAAACGAACCTAAACACCCAAGAACTCTGTATCAACCCTTATACCACTTGTCAAACAATTCCATTACAAGTAGGATATTCTTTATAAATAGGATTCCCTTGGATAAAAACATCCAACCAGCACAATCCTACTAGGAGTGCACTACCTACCCGTATAAAAGCAGAACCTTGGGCTATTATTCAGGTACTTTTTTCATTATTCTCCAGCATATAGCCTCACGCATATAATTCCCTTTCCGACTTAAGTATCGGAGGGGCGACGAGAACACACCTTGTTGCCTTTATTTCAGGTACCGAAAGACTACGATCGTGATCAACCCAAATCATTAAGCTCGAAAAATCTGCAGGTACGATTTTTGATAGCATCACTTACTATAAAAGAGAGAAAGAACTCCTATGACATTGGTGTACAAAAGAGAAGGAGAGAGCTTCTACTGGGTAATAATGGGGATTGGTTTGGGAAGACTTCAATTAAAGGATAGGATAGGGTAGGTTGGGTGGGTGGGTTTGAAGAATATAGAATGTGATGTGATGGGATGGGATGGGGTTGGATAGGGTGAGATGGGGAAAAAGGATGAACGACAAGTGGTATAGTTGTACATATTTCAATTTTGAAGAATTTAAGAGTTGGTGGGGTTGCCATGAGGTACAAATACAATGAGCGGGTGGATTTGAGGGGTTGGGGTGGAGAGATATATATACACGCATCCGACTTTAGATAAAAAATTTAATAGTGCCTTATTTTTGAAATTGAAAATTAAGAAATAGGGTTAATGGTAATTTCCCACTAAATAAAGGGAAAATTTCATAACTAAGAAATTAATTATGGCACATTTCAAAAACAAGAAAACAAATTTCAAATTTCTAAAATCAGATTTTTATTAAAAATTATTTATAATTTAATTAGTTAATAAATTATTTTATTAATTAAATATATTTAGGTCACGGATCTATACAATTTGGTCACAAATTAACAATATAATTAATTACTTATTATTTTTTTGTCACAAATCAAAAATTTTATGTCACAAATTTTTTATGATCACAATTCAAAAATTTTGTAAGTCACAATTTGTTTATTGGTTACAAATCCAAAAATAATAAGTCACGGATTAATTTTTAGTCACGACTTATCATATTATTGGTCACAACTTATTTTTCGGTCACAAACACAAATTTTATAGGTCACATATTATTTTTCGATCACGAATCAAAAATTTTATAGGTCAAAGATTAATTTTTCGATCACAGTTCAATAAATTATAAGTCACAAACACAAATTTTATAGGTCACATATTATTTTTCGATCACGAATAAAAAATTTTATAGGTCACAGATTAATTTTTCGATCACAACTCAATAAATTATAAGTCACAAACACAAATTTTATAGGTCACATATTATTTTTCGATTACGAATCAAAAATTTTACAGGTCACAGATTAATTTTTCGATCACAACTCAATAAATTATAAGTCACAAACACAATTTTTAGGTCACGTATTGTTTATGAAATAAAAAAAAATGGAAAAATTCATTTGTAAGAGTTTATTTATAGCCTACTTCAAAATTAAGAGAAGAAGGTTTGCAATTTCAAGTTTCAGATACTATTAAAATTTATTAATGAAATAATTGATAAAAAATTTATATATTTGGTCAAAGCTTATCAATTTAATTGGTCACAAATTATTTATAAATCACAAATTCAAAATTCTATAGGTCACAAATTATTGGTCGGTCACAGATCAAAAATTTCATAGGTCGCAATTCATTGATCGGTCACAAATAAAAATTTTTATTGGTCACAATTCATTTGTCGGTCACAAATCAAAAATTTCATAGGTCACAATTCATTGATTGGTCACAAAATCAAATTTTTTATTGGCCACATTTAATTTGTTAGTCACAAATGAAAAATTTTATAGGTCACAATTTATTGATCGTTCACAAAATCAAATTTTTTTACGGTCACAAGTTAAAAATTTCATAAGTCACAATTCATTGATTGATTACAAAATCAAAATTTTTATTGATCACAACTTAATAAATTATGATCACAATTGCATTTTTTAAGTTACATGTTATTATTAGACACAAGTTACTGGTCACAAACACCCCCCTACATCCCATCTACCTCGACCACCACCCACCACGACAGCCGTCACAATAACCACACCACCACGACACGCCAAATTCCGAAACCAACAACCTCCATTGTCGCCAAAAACCACCACAACCACCGCCACCAAACACACTAACAATGCTCAATTCACAACCTCACCAACACCACCCAAGCGTAATTTTTCAGCTAGTTCCACCCACCAGAACCATCACCAACTCAACACATCGCAGAACACCAACATGCCACAATCACCACGACCACCACCGTCGATCATCACCGCCAACGCCAAAATATGTAAGCAGCCGCCACCACCACCACCCAAATATCACCAAAAAATACGACAGACAACAACTCAATCCAAAGCCATTCCCATCTCCACCACCACAGCGAACATCACCACCACCGTAGCCATTACCACCACCATATGATCGTAGCCACCACCACAACCCACAACATAGCAATAAACTACGGTCTCATCTCAAAAGATCTCCTTCTCTTCTTGCAGATCTTACAGATCTGCTTCACGAATCACGAGGTACATCACGGCACCACCACCACCACTTCACCATCGCGACAAACCGCTATAGAACTCTACAAATTCACCACACCACAGCAACAAATCCACCATGGCACCATAGCCATTACAACTGTCATAGTCGATCCATAGCTATAACCATCGGTGACGGCGACAGATCGTTGTGATGCATGGTGGTGCATTCCAAATCGCTGCCGAAGTAGATGAGCCAACAGATCTCTGCTAGTCGCTGATGGGAACGCCGCGCCGCGCCGCGCCTCAACTCCACCGATTAGAAGGGTGGTTGCGCCTCTAACGTCGAAATTGTGCTTCCGGGAAAGGTTGAGAGAGAGAAGGAGACGGCGATTTTCTTTTTAATTAGGGAGGCGACGGGTGTTTTAGGGTAGAATGGAGAAATGTGAGAGAGAGTTGGGTTTGTGAGTAATGATACTTATTTTATAGAAATATTAATTAAAATAAAATTTCCGATTTTTGAAATGTTAAACTTTCCCCCTGATTTTAGAATTCAAGATTTTAATGATAGGGTTTTGTGTAATTTCCACTTAAATAAACCCAATATTAGGCCCAATTATTTTCCAAAATTTGGGCTACTTAACAAAGCCCAATATTTGAGCATAATTACAACCCAATATCCCTTTAGGCCCAAATCTAAAGTCCGTTAACTCCCCTGATTTTTCTATAAAACTAGCTCAAAACAACACGTTCACTACTTTAGCTAGAGCTCGAGGAAAATCTAGGGTTTCTGCAACTGCACTATAATGGTAAAAACATATATTTTACGTTTTTCTTGATCTTTTCGTGTATATATTTGCGTGTATTTCAGCAACTGGTCTGATCTGTGTGCAAATTTCTGTTTACTTGGATGATAATAGGGGAAGGGAACAGGGAGCTTTGGTAAGAGGAGGAACAAGACGCACACACTGTGTGTGAGGTGTGGCCGCCGCAGCTTCCACCTCCAAAAGAGCCGCTGCTCAGCCTGTGCATACCCTGCTGCCCGCAAGAGGACGTGTAAGCCTTCATTATGCGTACACTAAACATGTTTGATTTTGCTTGATTGGTGTTTTAATTGAATTAACTTAATAGACAACTGGAGTGTGAAGGCCATTCGTAGAAAGACTACTGGAACTGGGCGCATGAGGTATCTTCGCCATGTGCCACGCAGATTCAAGACCAACTTCAGAGAAGGTATAGATACAGTCTCGTTGATATATGCAAGTTGCAACATTTTGAGCTTTTTTGCATCTAATGTTTTCTGGGTTCTCGTTTGTTTGTTGATTAGTTTGTTAATTATAATATGGGTTTAGGTACTCAAGCTGCACCAAGGAAGAAGGCTGCGGCTGCTGCTTCTTAATTTCGATGGGTTCATTGAATTCTACTTTTCTTAGTTCTCTTTCAAGTATTAGAGAACATAATTTGGAAACTTCATATGAAGGGCATTTGTTCCCATTTCATTATGAATTGATTTTACATTTTTTGTCTTGTACCTTAATCCTCTTAAGATTAGGGATGGATCAAAGACCATTATTTATTCTTTTGAATCTCATTATTGTCATTGTTAGAATTGCTAATTACTCGTGTTACAAATTTCTGAAAATTTTGGTGGGTTTTATTACTGTATATTTGTGGGATAGAGGGTTAATTTATTTCCTCTCCGTGTTATCTGCTTCATCGTAAATATTTGGGCAAAAGTTTAGTGCTTTATCGAACTTAAATATAACTGTTAATATGTAAGAAACCAGGTATCACATGACCAAGCGGTTGCTAATTATTCTTATAGTAGGATGGTTAGTGACCGATCAGGCTGATTTAGTTATATCTAGGGGAAATCAAAATTTGTATTAGTTTGAAGATGCTCATTGTTGATAAGCTTCCTTATCTTTGGAGGCGTCTATGGGTGGATTACTCATGCAACTTCTGCAATGCTCCTCAGATTTTGAGCAGCATACATTTGAAACTTTCAGCATGATAAGATTTATATGTTTTCTTGTGTTAATGAAAATCGTGCATGATGATAATTAATGGGGCAGGTGCTTTCTTTTGCTGAAGTAGATGTTAGAAGATATTATCTTTTTGCGTACCCCAATTACGAAATCGCTCCATTATCCTAATATATTTTAATAAGGCGATAGGTGTTTTTTGTGACATTTGATGTTGGCTCCCCATCATGCAAACTTTTCTATGTGAAGCTTTATAGACTCCTGCTTTCACATTCTTGTACTAGTGCATTCGTTCGCCATTTTATTTATTTTTAAACAGGAAGGTTTTCCTCTTGCTAGAACTTGCAAGTTGTAATTGTCCTAGGTTCACGATAACTTAGATGCATATTGTGATTGTGGATCATGGTGCATAAGCTTCTTTCTTTCTCCTTTTTGTTTTCCTGCATGAGATAATTGCTAAACTACTTTAAGTTTGGTATGCAAGGGAAAATGTCACGTGAATAGTAGATATTGTTTTGTCATATTCCATGATACTGGCCTTTGTCTGCCTCACCGGAGGTCCCTAAGCAACTTTACTCCTTGTATGCATTGGGGCTTTCTTGACATGTTTCATATTCCCTCATAATCCTTATGAGTTGTCCAATTGGTGCCACGATTCTGATTAAATCTCTCGTAAGGCAAATGATTTGGTTTTTCGTGAGGGGTAGGATGGCTCATGTTACATAAGTTGACGGCTTAAATGGTGAGGTTGCCTTTGTTTAGCCCCCGTTTGGTACTCATTTTTTTCAAAATGCATTTTTTTCTCTTTTCTTTTCAATCACACATTATTTATTAAAATAATATTTCATGTAGATCAAAAACTTCTTCTTATTTTTCGACCACACACTTCTTATCAAGTTACTATTTTAAAATGCATTTTTATATAAAAATGGTTCTCAAACACTCTCTTAAATAATGATTTAGCCTGTGCTCAAATCGTTAATCTATGTATTGCTCATTTTGAAAGAGTTTGTGTCTATCTTACAGTCTCATGAATTTATGACGTGTTTCTAGGATTTGAATTTAAGACATTCTGTTTTATTAGATTTAAGTTGAATCCTAGTATCAATTAGACAATTGTTTTTGTTTATTCGCAAAAGAGATTATGTTCTAATAGTAACAGCATTCTGTGTTGGGCAGGGATGCCTCGTGAACACAACAATATATTGATCGCATGAATGCACACGTGGTAAAAAGTGCAAAATGGTTTTGCGAATATCCGCTACATGCTCCAAAGAACTTGACCCGGGTTGAGTTTGCCCATCAAAAGGGTCCAAGCCCAACACGCGGAAGTCCATCAACCAAGGCGCAGGCTAAGTCCAAACCCCCAGTCTGATCAGCACGTTTAGTCAGATTCGCATATTCATCAAGCATGTACACAGTTTTCATAAATAATTAGCACGGACATCTTGAACATTGGAATTTTACTTCTCTTGTTTAACAATAATTTCTGAATTATAATTTTAAGTTATCACTTATTTTGGAGTGTTTGAATTACAATTTAATTAGCGAGTACTATAGAATATGTAGGCAAAAAATGAATTATAAGTTGTGGTCCATATGATATGTGGATAAAATGTGTGTTTAATAGTTTAAATTTTAATTTAATCTATGCAGTTCAATAATTTATACGAATTTAAATAATATGTATTCAGAATAAGCAATTTTGTCGCTAGAAACAGAATGGGCGAGAATGAACTAAATATTTTTCGCATAACAAGTTCACAAAATCATGACTAATGCAGGTATATCTATTTTATCAACTCAACTCTGCAATAATCTTCTCTCTTTCTTTTCTTGTAAAGCAAATAAATTCTATCAAGATAAGTTAACTATTGGCTCTATAGTTCATCTTTAGTCGAGGGCTCCTGGGATTTCAAATGTTTGTTGATAAGTGCTGCCAATTCCTTCAAGCTCGATTTCGTAGGAAGATTGATCTGCACAGATGTAAGAGGCGCTAATAGTGAAACAAGGAACAACTGAACAAGACGATATATAAAAACTAATAAGGACAATTAACAATGTGACGAAGTAATTACTGGATTTGACTTGTCACTAGCTGGGTAGAACAGCAATGTCGGGTAGTCCTCAACCTGCAAGAAAACAGATTAAAATATTTCTCAGCAAGGCAACAACAGCTCGTGTTTATTCTTACAATGGGCAAGATTTTAAGGCATTCTTTTCCTTTGATACTGTCCAATCCAGTCCACCCACCAAACAAGGTATACCAGTAAAATTAAATGTGTATTGGATAAAAATCCAACCTGCAGATGTGGATGTTCATTTGTGGAAGCATCAATCCTCGCAAAAATGAGGTTTTCCAATCCCTCGAAATGCTTGGCCAATTTCTCCATTTGCTTGCTCGTGGTTTCACAGTTGATACACCATGGTATGTGGACCTTAAATTCAATAAATATAATATTTGAACTTAGAGAAATTGATAAGGAAATTTGAGGCTCTAAAAAAATTGAAGTATGTATGTAAAGTTGTACAAACCTCTAGAAGAATGTTTTTAGGACTGTGGAGAACCAATTCATCAAATGTCTTTCCCACGACAGTCAGAATGGTTGCATTTTTCTGCATTTTGACAATTCCAAAGATGATTCAACGTTATTCAATGTTACGATGAAAACAGAAAACCCGTGCTGAGAAATGAAGAATTTCATGAAAATGAGTTAAGAAACATCTGAATATAAGCATGATTTGTCAAAATTACGAAGAACTCACATTGTCAGGAACTGGCTGTGATTTGTAGTGTGGCGACAGACTCCCATCCAGAAGCCTCGTGCAGAAATCCTTCAACCAAATTTATGGAATATTGACGGTGTAATAATTGAAAAGATGAAGCAGGGAGAGATCGAGATTGTTACCTCTATGTGTCTTGGAGCAGGATCCGACTCCAACAGATATTTGGCGCCGCTATTGTAATCAAAGGCAATTATCTATAGAACACAAATGAAGGCAACAGTAAACGCCGAAATCAGAAGTTTAAACTTAAATGTTTGAAGCCTTTTTCCTAATCTAACTTGAAGTGTACTTACTACTATATCGTCTGACTCTTCTAGACCAAATAAAGTGAGGAAGGGCTTTGCAAGGTTTTCCTCTCTAATATCAACATATATAAACATTATCTGCCAAAACAGTAGCAAGCGAAAGAGATTAATACAACAACAAAATATTAGATTCAATTTGGCAGTACCATGGTCATGTCGACCGACCTTTGATTTGAACCTCAGAGCAATCTCTTGTAAGGGTTCAAGAAGCTTCTTGAGGTCATCAGCATCAGCAAAGACATACACCTAGTTGATATGAGAAATAGGTTATTAAATTAATGCCTCAGATACAAACCAGAACATGAAATCAATTGACTATAATTTATAAATCATGTTCAATGAATTGTAAGGAAGTGTCAAGGAGTTAAGATACACAGTGCTGTATAGGACTTGACATACAAGAAACAAGATTTTAGCTTCTTCTTCTTTTTTTTCCCTTAATACTGCCTCGTACATGCTGCGAGAGTTATATAAATGACGTGATTCTTCATAAAGATGAACGACTTATCAAATCAACATCTGATTTCTAAAATAGATATAACATGTCCATAAATTCCTCAATTAATCTTCGAATAGCCTTTTGCAGTTAACTTATGGGATCTGCAGAAACTGGACCAGTTACATGACCGTAGAAGAAATTTTGATGGACCTGGTTCCACATATTTCAAAGTATAATAATTCCTGGATTCTTTTATAGAGAACAGATAACCATATGTGCCTAGGGCATCATCTCCGTACTTTCAATTATGTTTCTTTTAACTTTTTCTTATCTTTTTAGTAAGGTAACAGCATTTGTTTTTTGTTTTTTGCTTTCAGGTGACACTATTAATTGGGGAAATGGGATAAAGAAAAATATTTAAGCTTTAAGCCATTAAAAAAAAAAAAAGGAAACAGAGGAGAAAAATTGATAGTAACAGTAACTTGAAGCAAAATCAACCTGCCGTTTATTAGGGCTCGAGTATACTTTAGCAGAATTAAATTCAGTCAACGTCGTAACTAATGGGAACTTGTTGTTCTCCAAAAACTGCAGGATTCTGTCACCATCAAAGTTACCTTCTGCAAGCCAGACAATATTGTTTTGCCGGTTAGAGAAAAGTTGCTGAAAATACAGGAATATAACCAGATAAGTCTTTATAATCCATGGACACTAATGAAAAAATGAAGATCACAATGTCATGGTAGCTATAGACTCATTAGGGGAAATAAAAGATTATTACGTTGCTCCACATGTAATAAATTACATATAAATAAAAAGTTCTAGTAAAATTCTGAAACCAACAAGTTTGGTTCTCAAAATCAGAATCCGAAAGTGAAAAATGCTTAATTTTTAAATAAATTAAAAATCAACAGATACTATGAATACATTGATACAGTTTTGTTCCAGAAAGTGATGATATGTATTTAACACAATATTCAAACATTGGGCTTACAATTCATCTGATTTTTGGTTCTGGAATTTATTTATATTTTGCATGGTCATTCACAAATTTGACCTACTGGATGCGAAAACTGAAAGTTACAGTACTAAGTTCATCTATGGAACCGAGCTAAATCAGCTCATTCCTAGATAGAGTTTACACGAATCATGAACATACCGAATACAGTGTACTGCTCCGGTTCGCTTTTAACAAGACCAAAGAAAAGCTTAGTAGACTGTACATCTGGGAACAAGACCTTGGCTATCTCTTCACTGCTCGTTTCAACAAATTGAATCTCGTTATCAGCTTTTGCAGCTTTAACAAATTCTTCATGATCTGGTCCCTGGATATATTTTTGTCCTCAATTTAGTTAAGTGGAAACTGAAAACTCATCCGCAGTAAAGCTATTTCAATAAATCGCATACTCTATAAAAATTATATCTGTCCCAATAATTCTCATAGCATTGATATATTCCAGTTAGCAGCACTTCAGGATCTAAACCACGTGAGTCCTACATCTTTGGAACTATGAACTTAATAAATATCCTGAATGAACCCAACATTGATATTTTGACGGATAAAGACATGAAAAAGAAGATTTTCTATATGGATTCATCTCCTCTGTGAGTCCACGAGCTTTCACAACATTTTCAGCTAAGAAAATCTCAAATGATACAAGATATGACACCAACCGAAAGGATGTGACAATTTGTTACTTAATGATAAATTTATTCAAAGCAGGAACTGTATAGTCAGAACTAAGTACGACCTAAGTCGCTACAACATTGAAGTCGAAATACGGATATTTTGTTCCAGAAGCAAATCCTCATCATGACAAGAAATGGACCAGGCAGGGTGGGAGGTGAGGTGGGGTGGGGAAGAACAATGCTTGAAGTATCCATAAAATATTCAAAACATTCAACAAATTAAATGTTTACTAGAGAAACTTTCTACAAACAGTAAGTGACTTTCTTAGTTTCCAGTTAATGCAAGCATTTATTTAATATCACACTAAATGGAGTTCGAAGTATCTCTATAGGAACGTTGAAGCTAGAAGTTCCATAACATTTACCGACATACCTCAAATTTGTCAAAAAGCCCAACTGCAAACATAGAATGCTTCTTCAGGAATTCATTTGCTTCATTGACTGAGTTAATTCTAATAACAGGCGCACCCGTCTTCTTCCTTGCCCAAATTACAATTTCGTCGCTATCACCAATCATCATTAAAATAACAAATCAATATGCCACTAGCGTAAAACAGGAACTTATATGCATAAATTCATTCTCAGTTATCCCATAATCAATAATTATATTCACAAAACTTGAAAAGGGATTCAAAAAGGAAAGAACACATCACCCTTCATCTATACTCTTTTCTCATAGGGTTCTAGATTCCGATTCAGGAGAATGATCTAACATTGTGCTCAATCAAGTCATTATATTATTCACCCTTACTTTCTCTTGGAATTGGAATTTGAGTTCTTTGGATCAATAATTCCCCGTATTACTTGTATATCCTATTATACACTTAATAACAACAACACAGGGAAAAAATGCTTACGACGAAAAGCCACCAGTGTACGGTTGAGAAGAGCCATTGACAAACAAAAGCAGTGTAGGGTACCCTTTGATCTCAAGATTTGAAGCAGCCTTAGGATACCTATCAGCATCAATCTTAGCCATCGAAAGGGTACTCCCCAATCCCTTCAAAACATTTGCAGCCTCAGCAAATCTTGGCATTAACTCAGCACTTCTAGCACACCATGGTGCATAACCTAATACCAAAACATACTCATTTTCCTCAATAGCCGGCTTGGTATTATCGTTATTAAGCTCGAGAACAATTCTCTGGGCCTTGCTTAAAACCTCAGCCTCAGACTTTCTATCATAATCCTTATTTTCATAAGTGGGTAGTGAATTTACTTCTTCTTGCTCATCTAATGCTATGAGTTCTTGAATGTCTTCCAAGTCATCAGTATCTTCATCTGCTGATATGGAAGAGGTCAAAAGGGGGAGCAAGAAAAGGAAAATTAAGGAGAAAAAGAGGAATCTTGAACTGGGTTTGAGTTTATACATGATAATTTGGAGAAAAAAATGTGTTGATTTCAGGGTTTTGAGGCGAAAGATTGAAACTTATTGAATGAGATCTAGAGAAGAACTCAATTATAAGCTGCGAGTGATCGTGCAGAAGCGTTGGGGAGTTGAGACGACTAGCGTCTGCTTTTTATACAGTGCACGGTGTGGGCGCTAATTACGCCGCTCTCACATTTGTTGGTCTCTAATTTTCGATCTAATACCTTTTTAATTATAAATTCGGGTTAAATACACAACTGCTGTCTGGTTCAGCTATAAAATTGAAATCAAAATTTAAGTTAAAACCAATAATTAATCTCAATCACAAATTTAATAGAATTCACAATTTTTAAATCACCTATTTCACCAACTTTTATCAAATCTACTAAAAAATTATTATTTTTATCTAAATTAAACAAGGTACAAAAAGTCAACGGATGAGTTTCTATTCAAATCTTGAATTAATATTTGTATCAGATTAATAGAGTTCATTTAGGGCAAAAAATTTCCATGGATGAGTTCCTATTCAAATCTTGAATTAAAATTTGTTTCTAATTAATATGTTTTGTTTGGCAGGATTCTTGAAAACTCAAAAGTTACTTGGGCCACAAAGGAGTAGATTTTTGACATGTTTGTATAATCTAAAAAAAAGGTTAAACCCTAACCTTAAGGTCATTTACCACTCCTGCCCTAGAGAATCGTGAGGGAGGTAAATCGCAAGTTATGCCTCCAAGGGTATAGGGTGGAAGGCTGCTTGTACACTTGCACTTACCCAAGAGCCAAATCTATATTTCAGGATTCGAACCCTTGACGCAGCAGCCTCAAGCAAAGTTGGATTTCTCCACCATCCCCTTTTACTACTTGAAAATGTGCCTTGGATGTTTGTATAATCTACAATATATTAAAAGTGTGGATTGAGGAGAAACTTTTAAATACCAATTTTACACTTACATATTTAGTTATATGTCAATTTTACCCTTATATATTTAAGCTTTCTTTGAGCCACATTATTTGAAAAAAATACATTTTTAACAGTGATTTGACATTATTTCAACCACACATTCTTTAATAAAATAATGTTACACGCAAATTCAAAATATTTTCTTATTTTTTAACTACACATTTCTCATCAATATATTATTCAAAAATGCATTTTCATTCCAAGAATGTGGCTCAAACAAGGGCTTAATATAGTATCATTTAATATAATTTAACTTCATTTAATATCCATTTAAGTGTAATACTATTAATTAAATTAAAAAATATTTTTTAATTTCTATAAATGGTTATTTAAGGCCATCATTTGAGTTACTTAAACAATACCCATTTTTCAATTTCATGTTGAATAAACTTAATTAATCCTCTTAATAAAAATCACTTATATTTTTAGCTATATGCAAACTCTACCCTTATATATTTAATACAGTATCATTTAATATAATTTCATTTCATTTAATATCAATTAAGCGTAATACTTATCGTTTTATATTGTAGTACTTAAAATTTTTACATTAATCAAATTAAGTTTAATTACTTAACTTATATTGTTTAAATTAAGTTTATCACTTAAAATCTATATTCACATATATAGATGTAATTTTATTATAATTATATAATAAAATATGTTAAAGGTTGCATTAATATAATGGTAGAATAATTATCATATAAAATAATATTTATTATATTTTTAATATGATTATATATGTAGATTTGCTTTGATTTTAAGTGATTAAATTTAATTTAGTTGACCCAAAATTATGAGTACTCCAATATGAAAAATGAACTCTCTATTTAAAAGGAGACTACATGAAATCAAATTTTAATTAATATATCATTAATACCGCCTTTAATATATTATAATGTTATTATATACGTACATGTATATATATTATATTATTTATTATTTATATACGTGAACCTCACTTAAAAATAACGTTCGTCTACTTATATAATTATTTTACAATTACAATATATATAAAAATAAAATATGGAGATAGATGATAAATGTTCAATTTATCATTTTGTCTTTATATAACATTGTCAATATTTTCATTCAAAAATTATAAATTTCACGTTTAATTAATTAATAGTTGATAATATAACTATTTAAATACAAAGGATGATAAATTGAACAGAAAAAGTGCTTAAATGTGATTAATAGTTAGAAGAGAGAGAATCGATGATGAGAGAAATTATCCATCAATCTTAAAAACCTTGCTAATTACTTCTGATAATTAGAAGTTACTCATACTTCCTACAGTTATATTCACACACTAAATACAAGCTTTGCATTTCAATTACACATTTTCATTAAATCCAATTTTTTAAGTATTAATAAAATAAAAATTGATATTATGTGTTCTAGAAAATAATTAATATAGTATTGGGTATTTATTATGCATGTTACTTATTATGTATAAGCATAAAATTGATGGTAATCTGTTACTTATTATGTATAAATATATAAAGAAAAGAAAAAGATTTTTATCTCGGTACATTTAAATGAAGAATTTTTATTCCTCCATTTGTATTAATCCCATTCAAAAGAAAATGAAAATTTTTGTTTAAGATTTTTCACTTCGATATCTATTTTGTATATAACTTTGATTTCTAATTTAAAATAAATGCTATGGATTAATATGACGAGCATGATTAATATATAATTTTTTGTTTCTAAATATATTTAGATAATATACTTTTTTTGTTTTTATTTTTTAGGTAAAAATGTTTATGGTATAGATAAAATGAGTAATTTTTTTAATTTGAAAATTAATTACGT